TCCAATACATCGACGCGTAAGCAACTTCATCCAGACACCTCCACTGGAGTACATTGAACCGACCGGACACGACTATCACTTCAGCTTCACACGCCCGCAATCGTGCCCGGCATCTTCGCGTCTGTCGTCAGAGTCCGACAGAGCTTATCCGGCAACAACGTTGGAGGGATCTGAATACGAGACCGACTCTGAGGAGGAATGCGAATCGGATCAAGAAAGTGAACAAGAAGAGGAGATACCGATGCGTCGGGTAGAGAAAGCCCAATTCGTACTCGAAGAACTGGACAGCGATCCAGGCTACGACTGTGACGTAGAGGTAGTGCGACCAGACCATTGCGAAGATGCAAGGAGCGAAAGGAGCGGCACAAAGGCAGCGATATTCGCCAGAATGAACGAGCTACAGCTCGAAGAAGACACTTCAGAAGACGAGGAAAGGGAGCGGATCTACCTAAAGAAGAAGAAACGATGGAGCGCAGGCATCTTCAAGCGCAGCCACAGCCAGAGCGTGGAAGGAGACAGCAGTTACTCCGACGATGACCCTCTCGATGACAGGGACCAGAATGCTCGCCGACTGCGCCGCCGCGTCCGAGGGCCTAGAAGAGGCTCGCTTATCTTCGAAGACCGTGGCTTCTCGAACACGAATAACATTGCGGAGGTTGAGGAACCTGACGAAGGAAGGGTGCTACACTCCAAGGGACCGCCATCCATCCCTAGTGATGACGCCTTCACTCTAGACGAGCTGCCGTTCTGGGGAGGGCACAACATGATGGAGATGGAATTTGAGTCTGACCAGGTGTCAGAATTATGATTGACGAACCTTAGAGGCCATTACCATGACCTTACGGCTGTTTTCTTAGCTGATTGCGTTCACGAGCGACACGCTCGCTGTCGATTGTTGGATTTAGCGTAGCGTACTATTTTCTGAATGCATCTGTTTTTACCTGCACATTGCTCAGCACCTGCCAGACTGTAAGACATGGTCTAGATGCGAATTTGAAATCCACCTGCGTCTAAGGCTCTAAGCTCTGGCTTTGTTGCAGTTTGTTCTTAGAGACGCGTTGGTCTCGCGAGTCAGTGCGGGCTAAACTTAGCCATCCTTAGGTAAACAGAAGGCCCACCTGCCCAGGCGTCAACGGCGGAAGCTGACGGCCATTCGCACGCGACCAAATCCACGCACGCCAACTATCAGGCAACACGCATTCACGAAGGACGCGGATAGTCGCACTTCCGCTGTTCTGCGCCGAGTCGAATGATCTCAGTCACAACACGCAGCTCATCTCGCACGAGACTACCCCAAGGCTAGCCTCACTATGGACGTTTAACGGTAGATTGCTCACGCATCATCAACCCTCCGCACGGTCAACTTTTCTAGCCGTTTCATCTTCATCAGCGCAAGCGTCAAGAAGTAATTTCCATCCTTTGTTCCATCTATTTCGTGCAAGCGACGCCGTGACGCCGAAATACACCGCCCCCACAAGATCCACGCCCCATCAGCGCTCCCGCTGTAAGGCTGAAGGACCGCCAGACATAGTCGCACCGACTTGAGATGCCAGCCAATGATTATTCTTGACCCCAGGATGTCTAAGCATATCGCATCCCTCGCTGAAGAAAGTACACAATTAGTCGGCAAGCGTCAACACCGTACTGTACAGCCCTCCGGAATCGTGACTTCCGTCCAGGACAGCTGATGAGTGCTGGTAAGACGGATGAGAACAATGGAGGTATAAGTAAAGCAGCGTAGAACACTCAGTTGGAGAATCATCTCCTTACAACACAACCAGAAACTCATACTACAATCTCATCTTTTCCTCTTTACTTTCCATCATCTCCTTGTTTCTTTACTGTCTATCCAAGCCTTCGCTTCTTAATCAGTAATCATGTTCACCATCGCCAACATCGTCGTTGCTTCGCTCGCTCTTGGGGCTGTTCAGGCACTCCCTCAGCACATCCATGCGAGACAGGAGAATGCTACTTCCACTCCTGCTGCCCCGGCAGCACCTGTGTCAACGCCTGACATCTTCGACGACCTCCTGACCGCTCCTACAGCCATCAAGCGTTTCCAAAGGCTTTTGACTGTGGGAGAAGGCCCTGAAGGTCCTGAGCTCCTGAAGGGAGACGACCTCCGCAAGGCGACCGTCTTCACTTTCGACAGGAACGCAAAGCCAGCTCCTGGCGCAGAGGGTGGCGTTGCCGTTGCAGCCGTAAGTCTTTCATTCCCTCAAGCGACAAACCTTATACTAATTCCCTCACCAGAACATCGGAAACTTCCCCATCCTAACCGGTCTCGGCATCTCCACCACCGTCGGTTTCCTCGAGCCATGCGGCATCAACACCCCCCACGTCCACCCCCGCGCTACCGAGATGCTCACCCTCGTCGAAGGCGAGAAGATGGAGTTCGGTTTCGTCCTCGAGAATGCCCTCGTCGGACCCAAGCAGAACCCAGAAGTCGCAGGGTACCTCAACGCATTCGAGGCCACCGTCTTCCCTCAAGGCTCCATCCACTACCAGTTCAACAACAACTGCAAGCCAGCGACTTTTGTGGCGGCGCTCAACTCCGAGGACCCTGGTACCAGCCAGATTGCGCAGAACTTCTTTGCTCTTAACTCGGAGGTTGTGGATGCTACGCTTGGTTTCCCGGTAGGTTGAATTTGTCGGAATGGTGTGGAGGTTATGCTAACGTGTTTTGAAGGGTCAAATCAACAGCAAGAACATCGACGAGTTCGGTGCTTCGCTTCCTGCCAACCTGGCCCGTGATGCTAGAGCGTGCATGGCGAAGTGTGGACAATAAATTTACTGGGAAGTCACAACAGTCTGAGAGAGATTTGGGAGGTTGTAATATGACGGGACGACATCTTCGAAAGCAGCATACATAGCGACGGCGCGATTTAGATTCACTGAACGATTGGTGGGCATTAGTTATTGGTTTTACTTCTTTGTGGATTTACCTTGGACTTATCTGTTATTGAGCTATACACTCCTTATACAAGCGAATAGAAAACACTGGTTTATTAGAGCTACTGCATTTTGTCATGCGTGATTGTTTGTTTGAGCTTCCTCAAACGAAGGGGTGGGCAGCCACACATGTGGCACAGCAACTGGACCCTGGAAATGTTATTTTGGTGACTGTTCCCGGCCCCGCAACGACTCATCTAGTTGGGCGCAGGGCGCAAGACACACCAACAACTCACCCGCTTCGACTGAGCTCGAGATAAACGGCTTCAAAACGCTGTTTTTACTCAATTACTTTCCTACCGGTCTCAATCCAATTGGCACACCAGCTGCCCCTCATACCCCACCACGGCCGACTCAATGGCAGACCCCGCGGCAATCCAACAGGAGATCGCGGACATTGAGAAGAGAATCGAAGAAGCGCAGACACAACTCAAGGATGCAAAGTCAAGATTACAAAAAGCCCAGGCTGCTTCCTTCGTCAATCCCGGCGCGAATATGTCCGAGGAAGAGAAGATGGCGCTCATCAAGGTCAACCTGGCCGAGGTCTTGAACCCGGAGATTATGGATGAGGCGCTGAAGAAGCAGGGACACTTGAAGGTTTACTGGGGCACTGCGACAACAGGACGGCCACATTGCGGTTACGTATGTTGACATCGTGAGATACGGTCGCGTGCACTGCTAACGATGTATCTAGTTCGTACCTATCCTCAAGCTCGCGCAATTCCTCGCTGCAGGTTGCCACGTCAAGATCCTGCTCGCAGACATCCACGGCTTCCTCGACAACCTAAAAGCGCCCATCGAGCTCGTCAAGTTCCGCGCGGAATACTACCGCTACACCATCACCGCGCTGCTCAAGGCCGTCAAGGTGCCAATCGACAAGCTAGAATTCGTGCTGGGATCGAGCTATGAGTTGAACTCGGACTACACCATGGACCTGCTGAGGCTAGCAAGTATAACAAGTGAAGCAGCAGCAAAGAAGGCCGGCGCGGAAGTCGTCAAGCAAACCGAGAACGCGCCCTTGAGCGGCCTCATCTACCCACTGATGCAAGCCCTCGACGAGCAGTACCTCGACGTAGACGTCCAATTCGGAGGCGTAGACCAACGCAAGATCTTCGCCCTCGCAAAAGACGTACTCCCCAAGATCGGTTACAAAGAGCGCGCCCACTTGATGAACCCCATGGTTCCCGGTCTGCAAGGAGGAAAGATGAGCTCGTCCGACCCAGACTCCAAGATCGACGTACTAGACGATGCAGACGTCGTAAAGCGCAAGCTCAAGAAAGCGCACGCGGCGCCCAAGATCGTCGAAGAAAACGGCGTCCTCAGCTTTGTCGAATACGTACTCCTGCCCGCCAGCCACCTCAACTATGGCGAGCCCAAGTTCGTCGTAAAGCGTCGCGACGCCGAGTCCCTTACCTACACAGACATTAAGAAGATGCAAGAAGACTACGCAGCCGACATTCTCACACCCCAGGATCTCAAGCCCGCGGTTACGGAGGCGCTCAACGCGCTACTTGAGCCCGTGCAGAAGGAGTTCCAGGGAAACCAGGAGTGGAAGGATATCGAGCAGAAGGCTTACCCGCCGCCGCCGGTGGTCAAGAAGGAGAAGAAGGTTAAGAATAAGGGTACTTTCCATCCGAAGCAGAGGAATGTGGAGGCTAAGCCTGATGGGCATGTTGAGGGTGAGGATAAGGACAAGGTTGATGTTGGAACTGAGGGTGGGGAGAAGGCTATTGAGGGGCTGAGTTTGGAGGAGAAGAAGTAGATAAAGTGGATGGAGGTGTTTAGTGATACCGCGTAGATGAGCATACTAGTTGCATACGTTGTTGCATATGTCTACAACACCCTGTTTAGTAGTGTCCGTGAGGATTACATACTCTGGCTGGTACAAATATCTCGTCCTCCATGGAGCTAAGAGAGGGCTACGCAGTGTTTCACACCCAGCAACCGTGAGTCTTCCTGTTCCTCCTAACCACCAGTGCAACTAAAGGCTGCCGACTTCGCACCTTTCCCCCTCTAGAAGATGTTTGTTGAAGTACCTCCACCCCTCTTCAAGAGTACAACTCCGCCTCGTCCCTCCTCATCTCCATCCCCCCGGCCCCCTCCCCATGCATCCCATGCTCAGGTCTCTTCAGCGCCGTCCCCTCCTTCAAATACAAAATCAACCTAAACGCCGCGTTTCCATTTAAGTAATACCGATGCAGCCTCTTACTCCGTATAAACCCCAGCCGCTCATACAGTTTCAAACTCGCGGTGTTCGACACCTCGGTCTCGAGGACGATCTCGTCGGCGTCGCGGGCGGTCATGGCATCGATGGCGAGACGAACGAGCTGCGTGGCTATGCCGCGGCCGCGGTATTCTTCTTGCGTGGCGAGCATGGCGATGTAGCCGCGGTAGGTGCCGCTGCGGTGGGGTTCGAGTTTGCAGGTTATTACGCCGATGAGGGTGTTTGTGGGGGAGAGGGCCTGTGGGGGGATGAGGGTTAGACACTGTAAGGTGGTTTGGGGGAGGAGGGGAGAGAGAAGTACCATGTAGCATAAATCACCCCATTGGTATAAGAAGTACCGGTATACATAGATACTGTATGGCTCGGATAGGTCCTTGGAAATTAATTGACGGATGGCGGGGAGGTATTGCTCTTCTTTCGAGGGTTCGTATTGGACATATTGGAGGTCGTCAGGTTCCTTCAGCTGTTTGGTCGAGGGTGCCGCCGTCGCCGTCGCATCAACTGTGACGTCGCCATCTTCATTGCCGGCCATGGCGCGTAGGAAGGAGAGCGATGCGCGTATGCTCAGCCCCTCATAGCGGCCGGCTTGGCCCGCCGTGTCAGGAACGTGCTTTCTCGTGCATCCTTGTGCCGATCATTCCGTCACATGCCGAGGGACGATAACCAAAAACAATCTCGTGGCAGTCGCCCACGCTTTCCCGTACAACCCCGCGTACAACTTTCACAACGCTTCGTTCATGTCTTTCTTGAGACGCCGCTTCGGCGGTGGCGGCGGCGGCGACGACAGCGAAATCTCGACGCCCGAACTATCCCGCGAACCTTCTCCCGGACCGGATGGGAAGTTCAAACGGCCTGCCAACTTGCGCCTGATTACCGCGGAGCAGCTGCAGACGCTCAAAAAGAGGGGGCAACATAAGAAACGGAGGAATTTCTGGGTGTTTGGTCTGGGAGGCATATTTGGGTTGTTGTTGGCGGGCTTCTTTGCGAGCAGTAATGACATGATTGATCTGAGTAGTTTGGAGGGCGTCAACCTGGAGAGCATCATGGAGGCGCTGCCAGACAACTTTGTGAAGAGCGCGCAGCAGATGCAGGTACGCGCGACTCTCGCTTTCTACACAGGACGACTGAATGGAAGACCCTGCGCATCGAGTGGAATCGAGGCTGACTGCCCCAACTCAGTAGAAATCAGAAAAAGACGCCGTAAACTACGATTCCTTCGCCGTCGGTCTCCACGCGCAGAAACAAGGCATCAAAGCCAAACACCCCGTTATCATGATCCCCGGTGTCATCTCGACGGGTCTTGAATCCTGGGGCACAGAAGAAGGGTCAAGACAATACTTTCGCAAGAGACTATGGGGGTCGTGGACGATGATGCGCGCGCTCGTCCTCGATAAGGCGCAATGGAAACGACACATTATGCTCGATAAAGACAGCGGTCTCGATCCACCCGGCGTGAAGCTACGGGCAGCGCAAGGTTTCGACGCAGCCGACTTCTTCATAACAGGCTACTGGATATGGAATAAGATTCTGGAGAACCTCGCTACCATCGGGTATGATCCAGGCAATGCCTTCACTGCAGCCTACGACTGGCGCATGTCGTACATGAACTACGAGATACGCGACCAGTATTTCACCCGTCTAAAGTCGCACATCGAAGTCGCCGTGCGCGTGTCGGACAGGAAAGTCGTTCTTCTCTCGCATTCCATGGGTTCACAGGTACTCTACTACTTCCTGCACTGGGTCGAAGCAGAAGGTTACGGCAACGGCGGACCAAACTGGGTCGACGAATACATCGACAGCTGGATCAATATCTCCGGCTGCATGCTCGGCGCCCTAAAAGATATGCCCGCCGTCCTGTCCGGCGAAATGAAAGACACAGCCCAACTCAACGCCTTCGCCGTCTACGGCCTCGAACGCTTCCTCTCGCGCTATGAACGCGCAGAGATCTTCCGCGCAATGCCCGGTCTCTCCTCCATGCTCCCCCTCGGCGGCAACGCCGTCTGGGGCGACGAGACCGGCGCCCCCGACGACCTACCAGGGCAAAACGTAACCTTTGGTCCCTTCATCCGTTTCCGAAACGCAAACAGCACCATGACGCAGAAGAACATCACTGTAGATGACAGCCTCCCCTTCCTGTTCCGCAACACAGAACCCTGGTTCAAGAAAATGATTCAAACCTCCTACTCGCACGGCGTAGCCCACACGACCAAACACGTCGAGGACAACCAGTTCCTGCCCGCTAAATGGGTTAACCCGCTAGAAACCCGTCTTCCCTTGGCTCCAAACCTGAAGATCTACTGTTTCTACGGTGTAGGCAAGGATACCGAACGTGCGTATTATTATCGCAGCGACGATGATCCGTTGAGCGGGTTGAATGTTACCCTCGATACGATGTTTACCCAGGCCGAGGGGAACGTGGACCATGGGGTTGTTATGGGCGAGGGGGATGGCACGGTGAATCTGCTAAGTAGCGGGTACATGTGTACGAAAGGGTGGAAGATGAAGAGGTATAACCCCGCCGGTGTGAAAGTGACGACGTTTGAGATGAAACATGAACCTGATCGGTTTAGTCCGAGGGGGGGTCCTAATACTGGTATGTCTCTTCCTCTTTGCCCTCCTTTTCCTTTGCTGTCTCCTCGGTTTGGATACATGCTGACGAATATGTGAAACAGCGGATCACGTAGACATCCTCGGCAGAATGTCACTCAACGATCTTATTCTGCAGGTGGCGGGTGGACGGGGCGAGTTGATCAACGATACTATTCATTCCAATATCAGGGAGTATGCGGAGAAGGTCAAGATTTACGAGGAGGAAGACTGAGGCGGTTGAATTTGGTCCGGGATCATGTATATGAAATAGCGATGCCAGCGATAATGATTACGTTGCAAGGAGATGGTGAGGGATGGATGGGTAGGGGGGCTCCGGCTCAGATCATTTGATTAACTGATCGATCGCTGGAGATGGAGGGAATGATACCATAGACTACTGTTTACGCACTCGCTATACTCTTCACTCTTTATCGATGCCCTGTCATCCTTGAGACTAGATCGGACAGGTGTCGTTTTTCATTATGCCAAGGTGGGAGACGGCGGTGTGCTTAAAGCTAATGTTATTGTTGTGAGGATACTTGGCTTGGTGAATCTGTGTTGGGAGCTTGTCCTCCTTCTCCTTCTCCTTCATCCTCCACGTCTGTAGTAATGAAATGATAATGCTGGTATTTCTCATCCTCAAGTTCCTCCTCCTCCTCCTCCTTCACAACCCTCACCCCGTCCTCTCCCTCCCCCTCAGACCCAGACTAAAAGTCCGCCTTCCCACCCATGACCTTCGCCGCATTCACCGCACTCATCTTGTTCGCCCAGCCCTGCGCAGGCACAATCTTCCTCACAGTCCTCACCTCATCAGACGCGTATCCTGGAATACGGATATTGTAATTGCGCTCGAGAATGACTTGGATATCGCGGATGTCGAGCTGAGGCGAATCGCGAAGCTTGCTAAGCTTGCACGCGTTGCTGATGACGTTGTCGACAAAGTCGTCGGCGAGTTGCAGGACGGCCTGTGGAGTGATTAGACATTGTGTATAAGGGTATAAGGAAGATGGGGCTTACCTCTTCGACTTCTGGCGTTAGGGCCTCCTCTGAGCCACCGGTTACTTGTCTCACGAGTTCGTCTAGCTTACGCTTGCTGAGTACCCGGTCGCCTTCGCCTTCGAGTTGGAATGGTGGTGGACGTGGGATAACGGGTTGGCCCATGGGTCCTGGCGCGCCATTGGTAGGACCACTCATAGTAGGCCGTGATTGGCCCATGTGGACGGCTTGAGGTGAAGTCACGTTGAGATGGCGAGGGATAGGCATCTTAGGGTTATTAAGCTGCTCGCGCTCGCGACTGCCAAAGTTGCCGCCTTGTCCGCCTTGCTGCATAGGTGTGTTTGTGCGTTGCGGGTCTGTGTAGGAGCGGTTCGCGGCGCTGACGGCGGCGCTGTGGGAGAGAGGAATTGGTGGGCCGGGCGCGTTCGAAGCGGCGGATTGAGGATGTGGTGAGTTGCTCTGCTGGTGCGCGTTCGCCTGCATGGGGTTGATCTGAGGTCGCTGCTGCTGTTGCTGCTGGTGGAAGTTCTGTTGCTGTTGTCCCTGCGCGAATTGCGGCATCTGGCCTGGAGGCATCGTCTGCGAGTGAGGCCCTGGCGGAGGTCGAGCTTGCGGCTGTCCTTGCTGCATTTGTTGTTGCTGCTGCTGCTGCTGCTGCTGCGGAAGTGAAGGCGGCATCTGCTGGTTGTGTTGTTGGTTATGCTGCTGTTGCGGCGGGCCCTGCTGGTGGTTTCCCTGGTTTTGTTGCATGTTGAACTGGGGTTGTGGTTGGGGTTGAGTTTGCGATTGTTGTTGGGGTTGTGGTTGTAGTGTCTGTCCGCCCTCAATCTTGATTTGCGGCTCCTCTTTCACTTGGGGCTGCGCGGGCATGTTAGGTTGTGAAGGCTGGCGCTGAGGCGCTTGGGGCTGTTGTTGCGGCGGTTGCTGCTGCTGCTGCTGTTGTGGGGGCGATTGCGCTGTGTTCTGGCTCTGAGGTTGCGCCTGAGCCTGGCCCTGCGCATTTCCCTCGCGTTCATCCTTCCATTGCTTCTGCATGGCACGGAACTTGTCAATCTGAGCCTTGATCTTAGCAGACTCCTTCTCGATGTTGGCCTTCATCATGAGCTGTTCCTGGGGTAGTTCCTGCCCATTGTTCTGCCTTTCGGTAAGCTGATGAACAAGCCGCCGTCTCTGCTCGTTAAAGGAAGCTTGCTTGGCAAGCATGTTAAGATAACCAGATCGGTACTCCTTGATCTTGGTCTCGTACTCGGGTGTGCCTGGCGCCGGTCCATTCGTGGGTCCCTGCATGGGGAACTCGTGGACATGCTTGACGATAGCAGGATCGACCTGGCCGCGTCCTGGGTTCTGGCCTTGGTTGGGCTGGTGTCCTTGGTTCTGCTGGTTGGGTTGCGCGCCGGCACCACCAGCTCCTCCATTGGGACCCTGGCCTCCTTCCTGCTTGACCGCATTGGGGTTCTGCTGGCCGGCTGCACTCGACTGTCCAGCTTGTGCTTGGTTCTGATTTCCCTGTTGCTGCTGTGCCTTCATCTTTGCGCGATATTGGCGTTCGCGCGCGATGAACTTCTGCGACCAGTCCGTCAGCTTCTGACGCGCCGTGGTATTCTCCTGGCTGCCCGGCGGGTTGTTGTTGAAGATGTTCCACGAGCTCTGCATGATCAAGCGGTACTTCTGCTTCTCGTCTTCGGGAAGACATTGTAGCTTGAGGATGTCATCGGGGCGTAGCAGCTGCTGGCCTTGCTGCTGGCCGCCGCTGGCCTGCTGTGGCTGGGATTCGCTCATCGCGAGGGCTGCGGACTTCGGAGCCGCGCGTTGGGGGGTCGAGTCGTATGCGAGGTTTGACGGGGGAAAAGGACTTGGTGTTGTCGCGTAGTTGCTGTGATTAAAAAATGTGTGGCGGAGATGGGTTCTTGGTGTGTGAAGTTTGATAGTGGGAGTGGTGAGGTTTGGAGTGATGGTCCACGGATGGGGCCAAGCACCCGACAGCGACCATGTCGCGCGTTTGTACGACCGCACGTGCACGCGTCGGTCCTCACTAGCACATGCGTGGATCAACCAAGCAACTTCTCTATTATCTTACATCTAACTAGTGCTACCGCTCCGATGCAAACGGTATCTCACTACTCTGAGAATCCACCTTCGAGACTTCCCCTTTTGCGAGCGCCCGCTCTCTGGTATTCCGGACTTCCCACTCGAATTCCTTGAGTGCCCTGATCTCGCTACCAACAAACAACAACCCCATCAATCCATCGATTACACCCACGCTAAATCCCAGTGTGCTTAGCAACATCAGTATGAAGGCCACGTAGTTCTTGGGTGACCACCAGACACCAATAAGACAGCCAACGGAGAAGGAGAGCTGGTAGAAGAAGTGCCCTATGCGCAGCTTGCGCTGTATCCTTTCTCGGACCTGGTACTTGAGTATAGTTGCCATGATCTCGTCATAGACCTCGATGGGCAAATATTGCTCCGGCAGTGCCCATGGAGATAGCCGTATGGCGGACGGGTCAGTGGAGGTTCTCGTCAATGTCGCTTCGACGGAGAAATGGTCGCTCAAGGAACAGTGTAGTGTAGGATGACGCATCGCCATGCCTACGTTGGCTTCCTTGAGCTCCCACTCAGCCGTCTCTTCCTTCGTCTCCGGGTGGTGGTATCGCCCGCTGCTGAAGAAGACGTAGTCAAGTCGCTTCGCTCTCGGGTCTGGGACGTCAGGATCTATTTGCACGTTCTCACCCTTGTTGAGACGTCTCTGTTGTCCTTTGTTCCACCGCCAGGAGTTCAGCTCACTATCGCATGTTGCTCCATTGACAGTCATGTTGAACTGCGCAGATGGCATTGGTACGCCGCGAACCTGCTCGACCTTGTCTTTTGCCGCGCCGATGGAGGATTCGGGGTGGAGAATGCGCCATACGTCTCGGACAGGTGAATGCGTCTCTATGATACGGTGTGCGAGGGATAAGGGGATCATGTTGAAGTCACCCATGCCGATGACGAGATGTCCACGTTCAGCCGCTGCGCGCATGAGTTTTGTGATTTCCCACGCTTGAGCTGTCCGGTGGCAGATGTAGGAATCGTGTGGTTCGCGTTCATATGGGGCGTGGAGCTATTGGAGTCAGTGTGTATACTTTACAGTTGCCAACCCGACTTACATGCGTGCAAAACACCTCTGCGATATCTCTCTTCGACGGCCCCATCTGGATCCTCGCACATGCGACTCCCTTGCCCACGAACCAATCGCCGCGATAGAAAGCAGCAGGCCGTCCGTTCAGAGGATACCGCACCATGTTGCTCTCGAGAATAGGCCATCGTGACAGAATGACTAAACCACCACCGAAGATTCCGCTGTGGTAGAACTTGCCATAGGGCAATATGTGTTGTGTCTTCTCCCTTATGGCATTGTAGTCTTGCTGCGTCCAGCACTCCTGGAGTCCAACAATGTCTGGCTGTGGACTGGCGGCGGCGATCTGGTTTCCGATTTCAGTAAGGCGCTCGTTGCGCAGCTTGGAGATGAACTTGAGACCCCAGCAATTGAGCGAGAGGATGCGTATGCTCGAGGGTGGCGGGCCGAGTTGTGAATCCATTGTGTAGGTTGACGCGAGTTGAACGGACGGGTATGATGCAACCCAGGAAATGTACCTGAGATGCTGCAGGGATGCTGGGGACCGCCTGCACGCTAACTTTCCATTGCCGATCAGTCGCGTTCCGCAATTCACTGCGCAACATCAAGCCAACTACCACATTGAACATGGACAACACACGGTCAACCTCACCTAAAAGACGGCGCGAAGACGATGACGGCTACGATGACGAACGACCACGCAAACGCTCTGCCTCCCACGAACCGCCCAATGCCTCCCCCAGCTACAGGATAGCGGAAAGACCCGCGCGCCGATACAGCAGAGGCGACAGCGACGACGAACAACGCGAATACAGAGACAGGCGACCCTCCTACTCGCGCTCGCGATCACGGTCACGCCGCTCCAGCACCTCCTCATCCTCGCACCAGCGCCGCACCTCCCAATCCTCAAAACCCACGACCCTGAACTATGCGCCCACCCTCATCCTGCGCGGCCACAAGAAAGCCATATCATGCGTCAAATTCTCGCCCGACGGCCGCTACATCGCCAGCGCATCCGCCGACTGCACAATCAAGATCTGGGACGCCCACACCGGCGCCCTCGAACACACGCTCGAAGGCCACCTCGCAGGTATAAGCACGATATGCTGGTCCCTCGACTCCAAGATCCTCGCCTCGGGGTCCGACGACAAGAGTATAAGGCTCTGGGACACGACCACGGGACTCGCCCACCCAACACCTTTCATCGGCCACCACAACTACGTCTACAGTATAGCCTTCAGCCCCAAGGGCAACATGCTCGTCTCAGGCTCCTACGACGAAGCAGTCTACCTATGGGACGTTCGCGCCGCCCGCGTCATGCGCTCTCTCCCCGCGCACTCTGACCCCGTTGGCGGCGTTGACTTTGTCCGCGATGGTACGCTCATAGTTTCGTGTTCTCACGACGGCCTGATTCGTGTCTGGGACACGGCAACGGGCCAGTGCCTCCGCACCCTCGTCCACGAAGACAACGCCCCCGTCTCCTCTGTCATCTTCTCGCCAAACGGCAAATACATCCTCGCGTGGACCCTGGATTCCTGCATCCGTCTGTGGAACTACATTGAAGGGAAAGGGAAATGCGTGAAAACGTATCAGGGACATGTGAATAAGCAATACTCGCTTTCCGGTGCGTTTGGCACGTACACGGGGAAGGAAGAGGGTGTGGAGTACGCATTTGTTGCGTCGGGGGATGAAGAGGGGCAGGTGGTGTTGTGGGATGTTAGTAGTAAGAATGTGTTGCAGAGGTTGGAGGGACATGGCGATGCGGTGTTGAGTGTGCATACGCATCCGACTGAGAAGTTGATTGTGAGTGCGGGGTTGGATCGCACGATCAGGCTTTGGAGACCGAGGGAGGGTGAAATAATTGTCAACGGCGAGAAAGAGACTGAGAAGGTCAATGGGGTGGGAGAGGGAGAGGCTGTAAACGGGATCCAGCGGGAGGAGACGAATGGGTTTGATCCCAATGTTTTGCCGCCGAACCCATTTGCTGAGGGCTGAAAGGGGCCAACCGAACAGCGGTCTAAGGATGGCCAAGAAGAAGAAGATGGAAAGAATTGAATAGAATGTGGTGTAGTTTAGATACCCAGGTAACTAGCGTATGATTGCTAGCACGTATTCTCTCCCTGATCCCGTTGTCCGTAAATCGTTAAGCATCGGAAACGCCTCGTGCTTTTTGGTATACCCCAACGCCGACCATGCCGCGAACAAATTCGCGTCAAGTTGAAAGAAAACGCCGTGAAAATGCACCGCCTCCACCATGTTTCCATGCCATCTTACCCCTCACACCACCCATCTAACTGAAATGGATACCCTCTTGGTTGAAAGCATACAGTAGCTTCAAAAAGTCACCCTCATCACACAACCGCGCCCGCTTATCCGCCAACTGCGTCTCATCCTCCAACACCTTCCTCACCTTCTCCCTGACCAGTTCACTCAGCCTCCCCTTCCTCTTCCTATTCACGCCATTAACCCTCTTCTTACTCTCCGCCTGGAGTTGTTTGAAGAAATCCGGGAGTTCATCGTCCGGGTCGTCCGGGTCAGAAAACCCTTTGAATTCGTCGTCAAGGTCCATATCCGCTTCGTCGCCATCTTCCGTAATCTCACTCGGATCCACCGGACTGTCATCAACAGGAATATCATTCTGCGCACACCACAACCTGTAATTCCCCCCCAGCAACTCCAACACCGCCGCCGTACCCAAGAAACTCGCTCGTAACGTCCTATTCTTCCGCACAAAGCAGATGCGTAACAAGCCATCCCACTCCTCATACGCAATCTGCGGCCGCGGATTCTTCGGCTCGATGCGCACGACGTTGCTCTCGACCTGCGGTGGAGGGTTGAAGTTGTTGCGGCCTACTTTCATTACGTGGCTGACTTTACTCCACATTTGCACGTTGACGGAGAGCCGAGAGTAGAGTTTCTCGCCGGGCCGCGCGAAGAGGCGCATGGCGAATTCGCGCTGGAACATGAGGATGCAGCAGCGGGGTGGGTGGGCGAGGGCGAGCAGTTTGAAGACCAAGGGCGAGGAAATTTGGTAGGGCGTGTTGCTTATGCAGACGTCGAAGCGGGGGAGTTCGGCCTTTATCACGTCGCCCAACCGGATCGTTAATCGCTTTTCCTCCGGGCTGCCTTGGACTCGTTTTGTCAATTCAGCGGCCATTCGGGGGTCCATTTCTACGGCTGTTACTTGTTTGGCGGCTTTCAGTATCAGGACTGTCAAGTTTCCTGTTCCCGGACCCACTTCGAGAACGTGGTCGGATTGCTTCAAATGCGCTTTTTGGACGATGGCCGTTGCGACACCGGGGTTCTTGAGGATATGCTGGCCGAGGTCTTTGTCCATCTTGAAGATCGAGTGTGCGGCCGAGGCTTTCGCAGAGGCGGCGGCAGGGCGGGCGTAGGGGGAGGCATCTTTGTCGCCGCCTTTGCTGCGCTTTTGCTTTGCTTTCGGCATGGTGGGTGGTTGTGAGGTGGTTTGATGCGGTTGAGTAGGTTTTTCGTCGACGGAGAGAGATCGCGCGAGATCTGAGTAGTGCTGCGACGAGCTTGAGCGGGTAAGCTTGGCGGTTGTGGGTACTGGCCGAACTTGCGATCGGTTGGCGTGGGCTGTTGGATCTGGCGACGATAATTTTTGGTGTTGCAGATCGGATTTACCGCGGGGTTAAGACAT